CGGCGCGGGCGGCGGGCGCGGCGGCGGCGCCGGGCGCCAAGGAGGTGCCCAAGGTGCTGGTGGACCCGCGCAGCCGGCGCAGCTACGTGCGCGGCCGCTTCCTGGGCAAGGGCGGCTTCGCGCGCTGCTACGAGCTGGCCGAGGCCGAGAGCCGCGAGGTGTTCGCCGGCAAGGTGGTGCCCAAGTCGCTGCTCGTGAAGCCGCACCAGAAGGAGAAGATGTCCATGGAGATCGCCATCCACCGCAGCCTCGCGCACCGCCACGTCGTCGGCTTCCAGGGCTTCTTCGAGGACAAYGACTTCGTCTACGTGGTGCTGGAGCTCTGCCGCCGCAGGGTGAGCGGGGCCAGGGGCTGCGGGGATCCCGCTCCGGAATGGACGGGGGGATGTGGGGACTGGGGAGGGCCCAAGGGGACTGGGATGGGGTCTGGGTGGCGGGATCTGGGGGCTCCGTGGTGGGAATCCAGCCCTGGGGCTGGGCAGGGGGACCTGCAGGGCCCCCGGGAGATGGGAATGGGCCCCGGATGTGGGATCCGGGGGAAGGGGGAACTGGCCCTGGGCAGGGGTCCTGGGGGCCAGGGCAGACCTGGGGCCCCCCGAGGGCAGCCGGGGCTCACGGTCTCCCGCAGTCGCTGCTGGAGCTGCACAAGCGGCGCAAGGCGCTGAGCGAGCCCGAGGTGCGCTACTACCTGCGCCAGACCATCCTGGGCTGCCAGTACCTGCACAGCCACCGTGTCATCCACCGCGACCTCAAGCTGGGCAACCTCTTCCTCAGCGACGAGATGGAGGTGAAGATCGGTAGGTGCCTGCGACACAGTGTCCCCAGCAGGGATGCCGAGCTGGRCATAGTGGGTGTGAGGGCCTCTGCTTTATGCTCCCATCTTCCCCATCTCGCAAAGGTGACTTTGGCCTGGCCACCAAAGTGGAGTACGACGGCGAGCGTAAGAAGACCTTGTGTGGAACCCCGAACTACATTGCCCCAGAGGTGCTGGGCAAGAAGGGGCACAGCTTCGAGGTGGACATCTGGTCCATCGGCTGCATCATGTGAGTTAATGACCCTTCCACCTGGGGCTGAGGTGGGTTCTCCAAGCTCTGGGTCTCCTTGGGCTTTGGTGTAAGTCAAAGCCCTGGCCATGCTGTCCCCAGAGTGCCCACCCTGCGGGCCGTGGCTGCTGTCTGGCACGTCACCACGTGCTGCTGTGGGCTGATCTGYTCACAGGGGTTTGTCCTGAGGCATTTCTGCAAAAAGCCTCCTTTTCCAACCAGAACTTTCTCCAGGCAATACCAGATCCCAGCTTCTCTCAGGGAGAAGGACCAAGGAATAGTACCTGTAACTGCCTCTGTACTGCCCTTCCTGGCAGAGGGAGCACTTGGCATTGGGAAGCCTCAGGAGGCCCTTCAGCATGGGGCTGCTCCTGAAATGGGGAGTTGTCCCTTGCAGGCTGCCTCATACAAACCTGACACTTCTCTGTCCTTAAACACTCAGGTAYACCCTGCTGGTAGGGAAACCGCCCTTCGAAACCTCTTGTCTAAAGGAGACCTACATCCGAATTAAGAAGAACGAATACACCATCCCCAAGGTACGGCCRTTCCTAGAGGAGACTCGTTAACCTCGCAGCAGGTTTGGGGTGCCCTCTGCACTGCTCTGCTTAATGCACAGCAGTGGGACAGCTCTCCCTGCCCYGTGCTGGGAGGGGATGTTTCAGGCTGGTGGGACAGACCTGTGGAGTTGGCTGCCTATGGAGCAGCTAGGAGCTCCCCCTTGACGTTCCAAAAACCTGGGCCCCTGATGGTCCAGTCCGGCTAGAGCAGCTGGCAGAGCTCTCAGTGCTGCCAGGGCATCACGCAGGAGCAGCTAAGCAGCAGTGTCCCACGGGGCTGCAGCGACAGCAGGGGAGCGCTCTTCAGGGCAGAGCTGCCCCGTGCTCGCTACACCTTGTGTCTCTGACCRGTCCTGTCTGTGACCTCTGCCCATCCCACAGCACATCAACCCCATCGCTGCTAACCTCATCCAGAAGATGCTGAGGTCCGACCCTGCCACGCGCCCGACTATCGACGAGCTGCTGAATGACGAGTTCTTCACAACAGGGTACATCCCCAGCCGCCTGCCCACCAGCTGCCTCACGGTTGCGCCCAGGTTTTCAATTGCTCCCAGTGGGCTCGAGCTGAACGGGCGAAAGCCGCTGACTGCGCTCAACAAAGGTGAGTACCAGCGCTGGGAGCCCGGGCGGCGGTGCTGGAGGGAAGCCTGGCCTCCAGCAACACCCCCAGAACCTGGAGCATCCTTTGAGTGGGAGGCTTCTTCCCTCTCTCCTTCCTACTGTGGTTCTGGGTCTGTCAGCGCTASCTGTATGGTGTGTCTCTTGCAGCTAGGATTGCTTGTAAATCCAATGCCCTWAGAAAGCTGCTTCCTAGTGATGTGCTGTCTTCTTTCCTGGCCCAGGACCAGAGAGCCCTGCGCTGGAGAGCTTGCCCGAGAAAGCCGACGCAGCCGGGCTGCGGGAGCTGGCGGACGCGGTCGACTGTCACTTGGCCGACATGCTACAGCAGCTGACTGCGGTCAATGCAGTGAAGCCATCGGAGAGAGTCGTCGTGAGGCAAGGTGAGCCTGGGGACAGGGCCACGTGCACGGCCCTCCCGTGGAACTTGCTTCTCTGTCATTCTGCTGCTGCTTGAAGTCAGGGGCTTTGCTGATCAGCTTGGGTTTGGAATGCCTTCTGTAAATGTTTCTTCTCTTGGCAGAAGAGGCTGAAGACCCTGCCTGTATTCCTATCTTCTGGGTTAGCAAATGGGTGGACTACTCGGACAAATACGGTCTAGGTAAGTAATATAGAGACAGCACTTCAGACTTGTCTAGTTTCTGAGGGAACATTAAATAAGGAATCCAGGGCAGCAGTCACTGAACACTGCCACTATGGGCAGAAAACAAGCTGCATGGGATGTGGCCTTGTTCTGCTGTGAGCAAATGATGCCAGTGCTGTAGCCACTAAAGCTTTTCTGTGGCATTTAATGTGACAGGGAAGGGTGACAAATCCAGGGGAGGCATCTGTAGGAAGGAGGGGCTCTCAATCTGGTGGGTGGGTGTCAGCAATCCCCTACACAACACAGTCCTCTTCTGTATTTTGCACATCTTCGGTCCTGTGTTTGAAGGTCTAACAGGCTCCCTTTTGACCCAGGCTATCAGCTGTGTGACAACAGTGTTGGAGTTCTCTTCAATGACTCCACTCGTCTCATTATGTACAATGACGGGGACAGCTTGCAGTACATYGAGCAGAACAGCACAGAGTCCTACTTCACTGTGAGATCCTACCCCTCTGCCTTGAACAAGAAGGTCAGTTGTGGGCACAGGGCTGCTGCTTGTGGGTGGGCATTCCCCYGGCAGCCTCCAGGGCTGGGGGCAGGGGGAACATCGGTCTCTCGCAGCCCCTTTAGTCCTGCACACTTCCCCTTGGTTGCTGAAACGTGGCCAGAGGAGAGAGACTCTCAGCTCTTGCTTTGTAGCTTATGGGTAGCTTCCAAGAAATATGTGCTTCCCAAACCTGCATGTACTGCTGTTAGGAACAGTGAGCCTCGAGCATCACCAACAGGGTTAGGTGTCTGAGTAGGTGAATGGTAGGTCCTCTTGGTTACCCTCAAGACCTGGAAGCCATGGGGAGGCTTTGGGATTAGAAAAGCAGCCTCTGCCCTCCCCTTGTGGCAAATTCACCTTCTGCCCGTGTGGGTTATATAACAGCCTCTCGTGTCGCAGATAACACTACTGAAATATTTCCGGAACTACATGAGCGAGCACCTGCTGAAGGCGGGCGCCAACATCACCCCTCGCGAGGGAGACGAGCTGGCTCGTCTGCCCTACCTCTGCACGTGGTTCCGGACCCGCAGCGCCATCATCCTGCACCTCAGCAACGGCACCGTGCAGATCAACTTCTTCCAGGTGAGGAAGCCGGGCGGCATTGCCAGCTGCTCCACCGCAAGCAGGGCCACGTGCAGGGACCCTCCTTGGCAGCAGCAGGGCCGAGCCCCGTGCCAGGAGGCTGCAGCACGAGGCACCCGCCACCCTGGTGCGCTGAGGGGCCATCTCAGCCTCCGAGCAGGATCCAGGCTCCTGCACAGCCTTGAGCTGCCCCGCCAGGCAGGCAGGCTGTTCTCTGCCCAGCTGTGCGGTGACGTGCCCTGTCACTGTGTCTGGCGATGCCCCAGCTCCTGGGACGGGCTTCCCCTCGAGACAAACCCGTGTTTGCAGTGTGCTCACGGCGACCTCTCTTATCTCCCTGTAGGACCACACCAAAGTCATCCTGTGCCCTCTCATGGCTGCTGTCACATACATAGATGAGAAACGGGACTTCCGCACGTACAAGCTGAGCCTCATCGAGGAGCACGGGTGCTGCAAGGAGCTGGCCAGCCGGCTCCGCTATGCCCGCACCATGGTGGAGAAGCTCCTCAGCTCAAAGTCTGGCTCAGCCCGCGTGAAACCTTCTGTTTAGGCCTTGTTTTGGTGGACTTGACATCTGCGCCCAGCTGTTCCAGCTGTGGCTGGGGGGCTCTAGTGGGAGCCCTGCTTGCACTGTAACCTCYCAGCACCCAGCTGGGCTCCCGCTCCTGAGACCCATCCAGCTGCCCCAGGAGCCCCTGATGCTGTGGGAATGGTGCAGTGTTCCTGACTGGTGCCCGAGGGAGCTTCTTGCTCCCCCACACCCAATAGAAAGTCTATTTTTTATTAAGTATTTAGTCTTTTTTCTAACTTCCCAGAACAAAAAGCCTGACTCAAACCACCCCTTGTATGAGGTTCCTGGGTATGAGAGACCAGAGCGTGGGGAGGGCAGGACTATCATGTAAGTTATTTGTACATGTTTGTGCCTTATGCTCTGGGCTTCGTTTCCTCTTGCAGCAGTTCAGCTGAGATATTTAACATGCCCAGGTTGAGACTGAGCAATCAGCCTTTTAATACTGAAATTAATTTACATGGAACCTAGACTTTTGTATATTGCATAACTTGATTAAAGATTGTTCACTGCAGCGTCCAGCCTGTCTTGGTTCTCCTTGCCTGCCCTAAGGCCCTAGTGAGGCAGCAGGAGGAGGTGGCAGAATGATTGTGATGCCTCTGCCTTCCCCCTCTGTCCCAAGCAAGTGCTTCTCAGTGCCATAAGCCACCCTGGGGATTTCTGAGTTTAGATGTTTGCCACAAGCAGCAGTCGGGGGGAAGGGGATGGCTGCAGCACTCTAGAGCAGCACGAGAGGTGCTCTAGTACCCAGTGTTTGTAGCTACCAGAGAAGAGGAGCGTTTTTTTACCTTTGAAACTCCCTTAGAAACTCCCTTATAGCAACAGTCCTGCCCAGTGACCGCTTTGACCCTAAGCCCAGGTASGTTTAAAAAGAGGTAATAAAATATGCCCCTGAGTTTGGGTAGCTCAGCAGGAACTGGGTGAGATATTATCCTCCTCTTCCAACTGCCGGGACAAGATCACTTTTGTATATGTGTCTATTTTTCACCATTTTGTATAAAACATATAAAACCCAGCACCCAGATTGCAGAGATCTCCTGCTCCCCAGGTGAGCGCAGCCCCCGGAGCGACAGGACAGGGGCCGTGGCGGCGCCCCGGGGAGCTGCAGCCCGGCCTGGCTGGYGCCGCAGTGGAAGCTGCAGTGCAGGAGCTTCGGAAGCAGCAGCTTCAGGCCTGAGTTCCGAGCAAAAGGATCCACGGAGGGAGAAGGAGCCTCCTTCTCGCTCCTCTCCCTTGTGCCCTGAGAAAGCCGCTGTTCTGCTATGCAAAACACGCGGGCTCCTGGCTGACACCAACCCAACCTGAAACAACCAGAGGTTGCTGCGGAACCAAACGGGGAAACCCTTTTTCTCAGCCCATCTGAAATTAAAAAAGAAATAAAAATTAAAAAAAGCCTTCATTACAGGGAGCTGTCTCCAGGGCCGGCCGCACTCTGCCCTTAGCAGGCCTGATGCAGACGCAACAGCAGGTCCAGGGCCCGGAGGCTGGGTGCCAGGAGCTCACCCAATTTGCCTCAGCTGGGAGGAAGTGCCATATCCAGTGTCAAAACTACCGTAATATTGCTCGGTTACCACCCGTGTACCAAACACACAGGGAAATGCCCACTGCCACAGGACCGGAGCTTGGTGCCTCTTCTGGTGAACAACCAGCATCAGCCCAGCCCTCGAGCTGCAACAGTCTTCCAGCTGTTCTCAAGAAAATTCCTGCAACACTCAGGTTTTTTCCCGACTTCTCAGGACACCATGAAACTGGAGCCATCTGCAGCCCGTGGTCCCTTCCTCCGGAGGCCGTTGTGCACCCCGGGCTCCAGCGCTTGCCCTGCCGCTTGCAGCCCRCGGCGCACGGAGGAGCCAACGTCCCGTGAGCTCCGGGCACAGCCGGCCTTGCCTCGAGAAGGCATCGCCAGCACCCGGGGCTCCTGTTCCCCCCACACGGGCGGCTGGGCTCCCCGAGAGCTGCGCGGAGGGGCCGGGGCGCCGCAGACGTCCCGGAGCCGAGGYGAGAGGAGGGAGCTCATCCTGCCGAGCGCTGATTCCTGCCCTTTCCTGGAGGGAAGGGGCTCCGTGTCCCCGCTCAGGCGCCGGGGCCGCCCGGCTCGGGGCAGTAGTAGGGGCGGAAGAGGCGCTCGTGGGCGCAGAGCCGCATGGCACCGTGCGTGTGCAGCAGCAGCAGCGGGAAGCGCGACGTGAAGTAGCGGACGAAGCCGTCGGGCAGCGGCCCCAGCGCCTCCCGCACGGGCGCCGGCAGCTCGTGGTAGTGGTGCTTCTGCGGGAAGGGAGCGCTCAGCACGCCGCGGGGGCTGCATGGGGCCGCGTGGGGCCACGTGGGGCCGCGTGGGGCTGCATGGGCCTGCGGAGCACATTGCAGGACCTACCTTGTTCCTCATGGCCCGCAGCAGGTCGCGCACCGAGCCGCCCTTGTAGGTGCGGAACCGCCTCAGGTCTGCAAGGCAGAGGGGCTCAGCGCCCATGGGGACGGGGACGCGGCGCTGGGGACGGGGACGTGGCGGCGGGACGAGCACCRCGTGCGCGGGCAGCTCTACCTGTCTGCAGCGGCAGCGAGATGTGCAGGCGCCAGTTGAGCCGCACCACGGCGCGCGCGCCCGCCTCCAGCGCCGACACCAGCGGCCCCTCGGGCGGCTCCTTCTCCACGCGGTCGCTGACGTCCTGCGGGGAGGTGGCCGCAGCGTCAATGCACCCGTGCRGGACCTCTTTCCAGCCACGAGGGCTGCGAAACGGCCTTTCCCACAGGAACAGAGGGCCCTGGCCCAGCCCGGGGCACGCGGCAGCTGCTCCCCCGCAGGACTAGCTCCAAACGAGCCTATGGAGCTAAAGGGGGCTGGGTTCCACGCTGCTTTATGAGGCTCGGGAAGACTGCGCTACGTCAGTCGTGCTCGGGTCCCGCTTAAATTCCCAGCTTTGGGCTGGCCGGAGCGTCCTCACCTGGAAGAACTGGAGCTGCTTCTCCTGGCTCCAGAAGAAGGGGTGCAGGAGGACCACGGGCGCCGAGGGCCGCGCCTGGGGCTCGYTGCTGATCATGGCTGCAATCAGCTCCCTCGCTACAACCTTGTCTTGGATGCAAAACAAACAGACGAGCAGCTAGTGCCCTGAGGAGCACAGGGAGCCGCACGTGCCTTGCTTTGGGCACCTTGCCGCGGTCACGGCCCAGCACCCCAAGGACTGCAGCAAAATGAACCCAGCTGAGGCTGATCCCCTTCTGAGGATTGCAAGGCAAGAGGAAATCAACATGCGCAATAGCCCGACTGCCTCAAAAAGCAGGAGTCACAGAAGGACCAGATGGACCCAGATCTTCTGATGTTGGGGGATTCACACTCACGCACCGCCCCGTGCGGAGGGACTCTCACCATGCACATCTTCTTGCAGACAGGTCAGCTGGAAGGAGCCTGCCAGGATGTTGGCCTGYCGCCGCAAGCTGTCCCCGAACGGGTGCTTTCCTCCTGACACCACGTAGTAGAAGACGCAGCCGGCCGAGAAGATGTCCACAGCACAGGTCTGCAAAACAGGCAGCGCGATGGGACCCTCACGACAAGGGTGCAGAAATGTCCTTCACCTTCAACTTTCCACTCTTATATGTGAATCCTTGGTTGCTGGCTGGAGATTTAGCTAGGAAGTTACTCAGAGGCAGCACTTTGAGAGTCCTCTTTGGAAAACACAACCTTGCAGATAAATGCTGTGGTCGCACAAGGGCTCCTGCCCTCTTGCTGACTTCTCTGCCAGATGAGCACGAGAGCTGCTAGTGCCTCAGAAACACAAACCAATCCCAGCACCGGGCTGTATGAAGCACAGTGCCAACCCCAGCACTGCATGTCCAGCAGTGACAGGGTGTCCGAGCAAGGGGAGTCATCCCACATCCCCTCCGCTCCCCATCCCAAATTCCCAAGCGCTCCAGCCCGATGGGAARGGCTGCACGGGACACAGGTGGCCCGTCTCCCGACACCCAGGGGTGCAGCTCTCACTGAGCTCCACGTGCTTCTGCAGGCACCTCGGAGCAGCTGCGACTCTGCTCCACCTCTACCACGCTTGGCATCCGCCTTTGGTCGGGAACAGCTGTGCCCACAAGGGACAGGACAGCAACAAGTAACTGCTGAATACAGAGATCCGGGTGCTGGCTACCCCTGCATCTGGACTGGCTTTTGCTCCTACAGGCTTTGTCTTAATTGGGGGTGTTAGCAGCAGCCAGGAGGCTGCAGCCAGGAGGGGACTCTGCAAAGGGGCGGGAGTGAGGGCAGCTGCGGCTCACGGACCGGGTTCTCCTTCGGGGCCTCCTGCAGCAGCTCGGGGGCGATCCAGCCCTCGGTGCCCGGGATCCCAGAGCGCAGGCTGAAGCTTTGTCGTCCCCCGTGAAGCTTCTTGCAGAGGCCGAAGTCGGAGATGACGGCGCGGATCTGCCCGTGGCTGTTCGGGACGGAGATGAGGATGTTGCAGGGTTTGAGGTCGCGGTGGACTGCAAGAGGCGGTTGCAGCGTTACCTGCAGGGCTGGAGCGAGGCCGGGAGCCGCCGCGACGCGAGGGCGCCCGCGCCGAGCCCCACGCCTGGCCCCTGCYGCCTGCAATCCCACCGCACAGAACCGCTGCGCGGCCACCGCAGCTCCCTAAAGAGCCATTTGCCCTCGGGACACGTCGCCCACGCCCTCGGGAGACGTGGGAATGTGAAACAGGGGACGCTGCCTCCTACCGATGCTGAGCGAGTGCAGGTGCGCCAGGCCCGACATGGTCTGCTGCAGGACGCACAGCGGCTCCAGGCTGCGGCGCTCGAAGCTGGGGCTCTCCACGTACTGCAAGCGGACGGGGCACAGAGAGGCGCTGAGATCTGATTCCTGGCAGCCTCAAGCCAGGCTCATCAGCAGAGAGCTCTCCCTAGACGGAGCTGCACGGAGAACCACTTCCAGCTCTCCAAGCCCATTCAGGGGCTAACTTGTCACGTCCAGGTCCACCAGTTGGCATACACCCCCTCTGTTCCAAGCCTGCCCCCACGTGCTCCTTAGACATCCTAACAATGCTCCTGCTTTATTGTTCTAATCCYAACTCGTTCTTGCTTCTCAGCTGGGGAAGGGACTCATCTAGAGACCTAATTCATATTAATACAGCTGAGTGCCCTGCATCTCCAAAGCACCTTGCAGCCTGTCCAGGCAAGACATAACCACCACCCGCTCCGACTCACAGGAACAGAGCAGAGCAGAGCGCACCAGGAACCTCAAGCAGGGCTCCCTGAGGCTGAGAGCCCTGCTCTCACACAGGCAGAGGACTCTGCTCCTGCACGAGTATTGCAGCCCAGGACCTCACTAGTGGGACACTGGATGCATTCCCCTTGTGGCTCCCTGCAAACCCAGGGACGGAGGCTCGAGGGGTTAATCCGCAGCTCCAGGGATGGCTGCAGCTTTGCAGGTTTAGGCCCTGCTCTGCAGGYACCCAGGCAGGGGACGGGCTTGCGGCCTCACCTCCTGCAAGGTGGCAGCGCAGAGCTCAATGGCGATGTAGTGGAACTGCTTGTCCCTCTCGGTGCAGAAGTACCGGACGACGTGGGGATGCTCGTCCGACTCCCGGAGCAGCCGCACCTCGCGCTCCACCAGGTGGAAACACTCGGGCAGCAGCCGCTTCACAGCCACGTTGCGGCCATCAAACCGGCCCCTGCGTGCAGCGTTGGCGGCCGTGTCCGCAGGCAGCCCTCACCGGACACGGCCCGGCCCTGCGGCTTTGCAGCCTAGCAAGGCTCTGGCCCATGCCACAAACTAAGAAGGGGAACTTGGAAACCCACCCACAAAAGCCTCTGACCCGTCCAGATCAAAGCAGGAAAGAAACAGGCCTTGCTGCCATAACCGTGGCTCCCAGGAGGAAACAGAGGGAAGATTCTCCTCGTCCCGGGAGGGCATCCCAGGCTGCTGCTCACCTGAAGACGAAGGTTCCTCCAGCTCCGTGGCCCAGCACATCCTTGGGGTTAAAAGAAATTTTCCCAATCGTAACCATGTCTGGTCTTGCATCTGCGGAGGAAGACCGATGTCACCAGCCATCCTTCAACCTCTGAGTATTAGTGCCACACCAAGGACATCCAGTTCTTTAACCACCTGGTCCTTCTCTGGGCCCTGTTCTTCCTGCAACTGCTTTTGTAGCCCATGTTTATCCAGCACCAGGTCTTGCATCTGCTCCCCCTCAGCTGAGGTTGCAGCCCTCTTATCTCTGCTCCTACTTTGGATGACAACATCTGCTGAACCTCTTCTCAGGCTCTGTGCRCCTCAAAACCTTGGGTTTATTTTTCTGGGTTCTCCTTCCAAATAGTGGAGAAGGTGGCAGACATTCCCACAATAAGGAGCTTCTGGCCTAGAGGACAGAGCGCCCCGTGCACCGTCCCCTTCCCACCGCACACACCTTCCACAGCAGCCAGGACKGCCGCGTCCTGGGCGACCACCCCGTTCGGCAGGTCCTTCGGGCAGGTGGAGGGCCCGGAGCTCCGGGACAGCTGTGAGGAACTTCTCCGTGTCGCACCCAGCTCCTCTGGGTCTGTGGGGACACCCTCTGCAGCGACCCGACCCGGGAACAGCATCTCCTGTTGCTGCTGCAAGAGCTGGATCTGCTGCTCCAGCTGCTGCTGCTGCGCCTCGTGCTGCCTCTGCAGTTTCTGCGACACAAACAACAGAAATATCTCAGCTCCTCGTGTCCCAGCGGGCGAGAACCCAGGGACCGGCACAGCTCAGGCTCAAACAGAACTCATGGGTGCTTCTCTTTCCTGCCGTGCTGCTCCTCAGAGCAGAGTGCTGCTTGTGCCACAGAGACAAGAAAGAAGCTAAAAGCTTGCAGCCCCTCAAGCAGAGGCATTTCTGCAGCGGGCCAGAGAAGAAGGAAGAATCATTCACCCTGAGGAGGAGGAAGAGGACTCCGCCGCCCAGCAGGGCTGTGCTGACTCCGGCCACCACCACGTCCCAGCTGCCGGGCTCTGGGTAGACCTCCACTTGCTCCATCTGGGCAGACCGGGACCGCTCGCTGCTYCGGACAGCCGGCTCCTCCACGCTGCTGGCGCTCAGGAACTGCAACACAGCCAGGCACCGCCTTGCTCAGCGGGGACCCCGGGGCTCCCCGTGCTCGGGGTTCCTGCCCTGCTCCAGCCTGGGGTTCTGCCCCGCAGGACCCCCCTCTTCATGCCCGTTCACACACTGGGACACAGCCTCCCCSCTAGACGACCTGGCCCAGCACTGTGCACGGTGACCCGGGCAGCTCGAGCACTCACATCATCAAACACAGCCCTGGCAGGAGAACTCCTGGGAATTATKGTTTCCGTTGTCTTCCTCAGGTTGTCTGGAAAGGCTCTTAGCATCGTAGTATGGACTACAGGCGGCAGCTCGTGGTGTCCTGTGGTGGGAGGAGAGGGAACTGTCAACTGCTTTGTGGTCAGCAGAGGGAGCAGAGCCTGTCACCCCTGCAGTGGTCACTCAGCTTTGGCTCTCAGGGAGAAAGGGTGTTGCTTTGATGGGAAATGTGACAAACGCCAGAGCTCCCTCCTTGCAGACAGGGACCGTGGGGAAGCAGCAGCCAGTGCGGAGTGGCCGGGACAAGGTTGTCTGCCCTCAGCGCACAGTGCAGGGCCTGGCCCTGCATTTTGTGCCTCCSCAGACACCTACCCCGAGCACAGGATGTTTTTTCAAGCATGCCAGTGCCCCMTGGCATGTACCGCAGCGCAGACATGAGAGCAGGCAGGGAGCAAGTGAATGAATCCCCTGCCAGTGCCCCATGGCTCCCTCTCACTAGGACAGTGTCTGGGYGGGGATGCAGGGAAAGCGCCGCGCGCTGCCGGTCCGCACCTATGAGGAGCCACTGGTTGTGYAGCGCAGTGATGCTGCCCTGGGGTAACTTGACATCGGTGCTGGGCGTGATCTCGCACTCGCCGGACTCTCGCATGGTCACATCATCTGTGGTCGGGCCGTCGATCCTGGCCAGCGTGATCCCCCGCGGCTGGGGGCACCGCGGTTAACGGAGCACCCGGGATGAGGAGGACACGTCCCGGCTCGCGCTGGCCAGCGGACACTCACCACCAGAGCCACGCTGCCGTGCACCAGGGAGGTCAAGGCGTAGAAGCTGGCTGCATACTTCCCCACATAGAGCGTCGGCCTGCAATGCCGGGAAGCAGCATCGCTCTCGGCTCCACATTTGAGTCGAGGAGCACCGAGCAATGGGAACCCAACAAGCTGCCACAACCAGGACCCACCAGCCTCCCCACCCTGAGCCTGCCCCTTCTCAGGCCCCTGACGGCTGTAAAAGCAAGTGCTCTGATCTGGCTTAAATTCCAGCCCTAGTTATGTCCCCTGTGTCAGGGCTGCCAGCCTCTCCTGCCTGTCTCAAGCCACCCCACGGGGACCAAGGGACTTCTCCTGCCACCTCCCCACCCTGGTGCAAGGGCTCCCGCGGCACGTACAGCAGCTGGGTCTTGGTGGCGGCAAAGTCCTTCATGGAGTGGTAGTTCCACTGGACGAGGCGGATGTCCTGGGAGTGGAAGGTGAGGTAGCGCAGAGTCTCCATGGCCATGTTGAGGTGCGGGATGCGCTGCAGGCTGTCTTGGTGCCACACGTAGATGCCCACCACGGGAGAGCCGTAGTTCTGTGCCCACAGCACCTCCCCGCTTTCCTTGTCCAGCGTCACCACGAGGCCGTCCCCGCTGGAGGCAAAGTGGGCCATTTCTAGCCAGAGACACGAGGGGGAGGTCAGGCGGCCAYGCTGCCCGCGGGCGCTCTCCCCTCTCCATGTCGCGCTGCGGCTGCTGCCTGGTGCTCTGTTCACACAAGAGCTCTCGCTGGACTGGTGGCAGGCAACACACTGCAACCTGTGACCTCTTCAACAAAACCCCACGGCAGCTGAKGCTGTCCCCGTCCCACAGCTCCTCTGCATCCCCGGGGATTTCTTCCAGGGATACACGTGACTATCCTGAAGCTACGCAGGGCTAGCCATGTCTGAGAGAGATGCTCGTCCTACGGCTGTGTCCYTGCTCACTCTATAGCCGTGTCCCTGTTCACCCTGTGGCCGTGTCCCTGCTCATCCTACGGCTGTGTCCCTGCTCACCCTGTGGCCCTGTCTCCACCGTTGTGGCTCGGGCCGCCCTTTCCCGCAGCTCAGCCTGGCTCTGTCCCTGCCCGCCGGGCCCCGCGGCGCCGCAGGGAGCCAGCTCCCATGTGCTCCGTGCAGACACTCACTGTACTGGTAGGACTTCTCGTAGAGCGGGGCCGAGTAGTCCGAGTAGGTGGCATTCCAGCGCAGCTCCCGCGACTTGGTGTCGTACATGGTGATGACGTACTCTGGGGACAGAGCAAAGCAGCGAGCTCGCAGCGCCGCTGTCCGCAGGCCCAGGGGACCTTGGAGAAGGTCTCCTTGGAAAGAGAGGAACTGGGCACAGAGGAGCAACACGGAGGAGGTGCTCCCTGTGCCGGCACGGAGCTGTCATGGCAGGAAGCACCGACCCATCGGTGCCACACGGCCTGGCAGGGCACAGCGTGCACGGGGCACCGGTGCTCGTGTTTGTGCAGCCCCTGCCCTGCTGCGGGGATGAGCGGGGAGGACGCCTGGCTTACGGGTACGGCCGATGTAGAGCAGGGGGCTTGAGGGGCACAGGCCGTCCCAGGCCTCCGTGGACAGAGTGGTCTGCTTCTCTCCTGACTTGGGGTCCACGATGAACCAGGTGTCCAGCTTCTTTCCTAGCAATGAATACACACGAATACATCTTTGTTAAGTCTCCACAGCCTGCAGTCCCCCTGCCAGAACCGCCCCCAGGCTGCCTCCCCGTCTCTCTCCCTCCAACAACACCTTTTCCATGAGGTGTCCCTCCAGCCTGCCCCTCTGCATCTCACAGACCTTCTTCCCTGCATCAGAGCCATCCCTGCAGGCTCTGCACCACCCAGTGTGTCCGATCGTCAGGTCAGAGCCCCCCGGGTCTCTCAGGCACCAGTGACCCCCCCATTGAGCCTCACGGTGCCCCAGCAGAGAGGCTGTCTCCACCTGTGTAGAGGACCCCGTCCGAACTGCGGCACGGCGAGGACTGGACCAGCTCTGGGATGGTGAACGGCAGCTTCTGCAGCAGAGGAGCACCAAGGACTGTGAGCGGCAGCAGGACAGAGAGCCAGCGGCCTGGCTGCCTCCCCGAGCGCGCRGGAAGGACCAGGTACCGGGAAAGGGGGACAGCTCTCCCAGCGCTGGGGGACGGTCGGGAAGGGACCCAGCTCCGTTCCCCCCCTCCCGCTTGGCAGACACCTCCCGATGCCGAGGACCAGCAGGAGCGACCCCAGTGCTCCCACCACTGCACTGACCATCAGGCCCTCCTTGTTCTTTCCTCCCAGGATATAGAGGCTGCCGTCGTTGGGGTCCGGCAGAAACGCTGGTCTGAAAAGGAGCAGAAAGGAGAATGAAACGGGAGCTGCACCCTACTGAGGAGCCCCGTCGGGCTCTGAGTCGGAGGCGCCATCAGGGGCGACCCTYGGCGCTCCATCCCAGGAGATTCCCCTTGGCTCGGTCTGAGCTGGGCTCGGGCTCTGCTCCACACAGCGACTCCCACGGCTACTCTGTCTGCTGGGGCCTATCCGCTMGGGAGCTCCCTGCTTTCCTGGTGCCCCGTGTGCTTTAAAACCATAGGGATTTTCCTCAACTTTCCTATGCTTCCGTGCGGTGGCCCGAGAGCTTCTGGTCTGTCTGCAGAAAGGCCACGTGTTTAGCAGGAGGGAGCAGCTATTTCTGCATTGCGGTGCACAAGGYGCCAGCGAGTGAAGGGGACACCTTGCCCGGCTACCAGGTTAATTCCTCCAACGTTTCACTTTCCTTTTGGAAGCTGCAGGCGCTCGGGGAACATCCATCATCTTGCAACACCTTCTAAGGCTGATGAACAGCAGCCTTTGCTGTGAAGGGCACCACGCCGGGGGAAAGGACACTTACTCTGCCACATAAACCGGCACCTGCAGAATAGGATCTGAAAGAGAGAGCGAAACGCCGTCGTGAGCGGCCTCTCCCCGCACAGYGGCGGCGGCGCCGGCCTGCAGCTCGGCGCTCATTTGCATGGCAGGCCCAGAATAGCCGCGGCCGGCAAACACGGTGGACGCGCTCCCTGGCGCAGCCCCCGCGCCTGCAGGAGCCGCCGGCTCCGGCACCGTGCGCRCACGGAGGCTGCACCGGGGACAAGGCCGGGGACCGGCGGCACCGCCAGCATCTGCTGGTTGACACTCACCGTCCTTCAGGGTCCACTTGACGTCCCCCGTGCTCTTGCTCACAGCGTGCAGGTTTCCATCRAGAGTGGATACAAAGAGCAGCGTTTCTGGGGCTGTCACGGCACCGCCAGCGAGGCACTACGAGCAGAAACGTAGTCCTGAGCGACCAGGGCAGAGCTGGGGACCAGCCCCGCTGCCGGGGCTGTCAGCACCGCTCGCCAGCCCCGCTGCCACCCACCCGATGCTCCACAACAGCACATGGCAGGGGAGGGCACCTGAGGTCACTTCTGGTCCTAAGCAAGCCGGGTACCCAGGGGCGCTCATTTTCCCGCACTAGGCCCCACCACAGGTTGCAGCTGAACTTTTGGGACAGGCTCCTACCAGGCCCCTAACACAGAACACGCTTTTTTCCATCTTAAACCTGCAGGTTTCAACCTGTGACCCACGGGCCTCTGGCAGGGGCTGGGCACAAAGACAACGGCCAAGACAAAAGCCAGGTCCCCGTTGGGAGCAGCTGCTGAGCGGCCACCGCTCGCGGGCGCCTGTCTAGGAGGTGACGCAGGGGCGCAGGCACCAGCAGCGAACGGGTCGGGTGACGGTGGAGGCAGCAGCGCGGGCGCGGGCGCCACGTCGCGCGACGCAGCCRCACCCGCTCTGCAAACAGCGCGGCCGCCACACGGGCAGCGGCGCTGGGACGAGGCAGCGGCTCCGCACCCGCCACCTGCYGCAYGGCCCCGCACCTGCACAGCCGCACTGGGCTGGGCCCAGGGACGCGGCCGGATCCAAGGGCAGGATGCGGCCGCCACCGCCGGGGAGAGGCAGGTGGCAGCGGGGCAGCCCTGGCGCCGCGGGGACGGGCACGTTCTCCTCAGCTCACTGTCCCACTGCTGCAATGGTGCAGGGGTGCCCACCGCATCACCAGTGCCCAGGGGCACCCGCTGCCCCCACCTGCCTTGGGCCCAGCTCAGCTGGGCTCAGCTGAGAAGCCCTCAGCTTCTCACCGCACTCTTGGGGCCAGGCGAGCCCAGCTCGGCTGCAGCAGCCTGGGCAGCCGAGCTCCCTGCCGGGCCGAGCCGCGGAACCGGCCCCGGGGCAGCGGCAGCTCCGGTCTGGGCTCGTGCGCCCGGGCCCAGCCCCGCGCCCTCCCCGGCAGCGGCGCCGCTCCGCGCCCTGCCCGCCCAAGGGCCGGGGTCCCAGCGCGAGGCTGCTCGGGCGGCGGCACCGGCGGCTCCGGCGGCTCCGCGGCCCGGGCGGCGTTTCCGGGACGGCCGCTCCGCGGGCCCCGCACGCTCCCCGTACGACCGTCCTGGGATCCTGGCAAACGGCGGCGAGGGGCAGCCCCGGCCACGCGAGCACCGCGGGGACGCTGCACACGCGCACCCCGCGCCGCGACACCGCGTCACACGCGCACACAGGCAGCACGCGCGGGACAGGGGCCCGCGCGCGGGACGGCGAGSTGCGCAGCCCACGCGCGGGACCAGGGCGCAGGGTCTGCACGCGCGGCATGCAGGGACCCAGAGACCCCACGCACGGACCCAGAGACCCCGCAGCTGCCGGCGGACGCCCCCCCGCACCCCCCGCGTCCCGGCCCTCCTGCCCAGGGCCCCGTGCCCACCTGCGCACGGAGCAGCAGCAGCGGCAGCAGCGGGGCCAG